CGGTGACCCGGTTTCGAGGCAGTAGGGCATGGCTGCGGGGCGTGGGGGGTGAGATCTAGGAGGGAGACGGGGGAGGGGAGGACTGGCCCCACTCGCGGCATGCCCGCTTCTGGTCGGTCTCCATGAGCCTCACGGGTTTGCAGGGATGGCCGACGGAGCGCTACTGTCCAGCGACAGTCACCGTGATGAAAACTCCGAAGTAGAATTATGGTGGAGACTGTCAAACGTGTTAGCAATCATGTGCAGCTGGGTTGTTGGCAATTTTGCCAATGTGGACTAGATTGGACTCATTAAACTGGAGACCTGTGGTGATTTGGAGAGTAAGCTCTGACCCTGTGTACAACTGCAAACTTTCACAGAAAGTCCCAAGTGGCATCCCAGCATGAATGCCTGACTGATGAAGCGGTTCTTGATATTTTGAAGTAGAGTATGATAGTTGAGGGGGAAGGGGGAGGGAGGGAGAGGGAGGGAGGGAGAGAGAGAGAGAGAGAGAGAGAGAGAGAGAGAGAGAGAGGAAGAGAGAGAGAGAGAGGAGTATGGATAGCCACTGGCAGGTAAAATCCTGCTCCAGTTTGTTTTGTTCACATTTCAATGACCAGAGGAAAGAGAGGAGCTGAAGGAAGCCCACATTATGCTTCTGTGGAATTCTTGTGAATGTGGAAAATGTGAGCAAGATAAAAATGTAGATTGTCTGTAGTGTCATTTACCAAAGGGGTTGAAATAATAAAGTAGAAGGGAGTTTATTTACTTTGGAAGCTTTAAGGCTTATTAAAAGAGAAAAAAACATTAATTAATTAATAGTATTACTTGCAAACAACCCTCATAGTAAAAACTATGCAAATGAAAGCAGGCAGGCAGGTAGTGCAGGCTTTAACTCCTCACCCAGGGCCGAAGGCCCATCACGTGATAACTTTTCCTCCTTACAACACCCCATGACCTCAGGAGTTGATGTAAATGACAGCATTTGTGTCTTTTTTTGTGAAAGGTGTTTGATGGCTGGATTCTCAAGGGGGAGAAGTTTCCCAGTTCCCAGGATCATCCTCTCCCCACGACCGAGCGCTACGTGGATTTCTGTGAGAGTGGTCTCAGCAGAAGGAGTGTCAGATCCTCCCAGAACGTGGCCATGGTCTTCTTCCGAGTCCACAAAGCAGGAAATGGATTCACGTTAACCATAAAGACAGATCCCAACCTCTTTCGTAAGTGGCTTCCTGTCTTCTCAATCAAAAGGCAGACGTGGGGGTCAAACCTGCTTTTCAAAGGTAGTATCACTGCATGGACTTAGGAAATCTGAACCGAAGAATGATTTGAATGGAAATTTTCTTGTAATTAGAAGTTACCTAAAGGATATTTTCTATTTGTTATTATGAAAATCAAACCATAGTTTTTGATTTATTTCCCAGGCTAGGTAGTATACTAACTTACAGTGGGTACATTTCTACTTTTTCTCCAAAGTCTTGCTCTGATCTCCTAAGCTACTACAATGCATTCACTGGCAAACTTTATGATTATGATAGTTGAGAGAGAGAGAGAGACAAGCCATTTTTCTGATCCAGGATAAGCTTGAGGGACTGCGAAGTTGCAGTCCTAGAGGCATTTAGGCACAGGCTAAAGGGCTGCATGTCTGGGAGGTGGTAGATAGATGCCATGCCCTGAGCAGAGGGTTGGACCAGAGCCTCGACCGTGTGGCCCTCTGGTTGTGAGCTCACCACTCTAATTTAGCTCATTTCTTGTTTTATTATTTTTTATTTTATTCTTATTTTATTGTAAAAATGTGGGGTACAAGTCAGAATTAGGTACCTAAGTAGTCTACATGCAGGTGACGTTTGGGCCCCAACTGGTCCTCACTTCCCTTGATTTAGGATCAGGTACCCTTAGTGACGTTACACACACCTTCCCTGCCCCCTGGCAGTGTCTCACTACTGCCAATCCCTCTCTCGTAGTACTGTGATAAGTGTTCAGGACCCACTTATAAGTGAGAACATGTGGTATTCAGTTTCTGTGATCACTCTAAATCCACCCAGTTTGCTGCAAAGTCCATAATTTGTCCTTCTTTATGGCTGCTAGTTCATTTCTGATGGACACACATTATGCTATACATCTGAACTGTCCAGGCCTAATGCACATTATTTTCGTCAAAATGAATTTACTCATATATTAATTGTTTTTCCCCATTAAGATGAAAATATTTTTTAAAACCAGAAAAGAAAGCATATCACTCATTATAGGTTGCATAAATAGTATTAGTAGTAACACCTCATATAGTTGAAGGAGGAGACCTATCCTGCCAAAGAATAATGTACTACTGATCTTCTGATTTCCATTTTTAAAAACACAAGAACACTTTTTGAAAAAAGCCCCCCTCCCCTCAAAAGCTGTTTCTGAGGTCTGGAGGACAAAATAAAACATTTTTGCTATGTTTTGTTTGGTTAGAAATCAGAAACCTTCTAGAATCATTGAGGCATTTCAGTTCTCTTAAAAATTAAGTATAATTAAAAATATTAGAAGAAAGCAGGAGGTGATCTGGCCCGTTCTGACCAATCAGAAACCTTTGTCCCATAGTCAGCAAAAAAGCGCAAATTCTGATGCTTCTGGTTTCATACCTAGAAGAATACATATATTGTAAGTCTAGACTTGAGATACAAAACATTTTAGAAATTCTTGGGAATATATTAAACATGAAAAATTTACCTTTTGTTTAACTTATCACTTAATACCTAGCAAATACTTACCAGACTTAAGCTTGCTGTCTTTTTCTTAGCCTGTTTTGTCACTGTTTAAAACGCTTAAAATAAAAGTCTGTATTTACTACTTTATTTAAAAAAAAAAAAAGCATTGTGGCTCCAGATTCTTTGAATGAAGGCTTCGGACAGAGTTTGAGTTCTGGCCTCACCTTTAAACCTCAGTTCTTCTAGATTCTGAGCCTGAACTGGAACCCTATTTAATGGAAGTGTTTCTAGAACGACTACCAGCTAGTATTGTTTGTTTGGTTACTGATGTATATCTTGTGATTGTTACAAGCAAGGTAACCCCTGAGATTCAGGTTAGATGCTCTCTTGTAAGCCCAGGGCCTCCTGACAATGTCCAATGTCACTGCATAAATGTCACTGATGGGTTTTGTTCCTCAACTCTTTCCTGTCTCCAAATTGCCTTTGTGACATATATACTCTCTTCCTGGGCAGAAGGCCCTAGATCATGAGCAGGAGCCTAGAATAAGGATACAATACATTTCTATAAAAAACCAGCAAACCAAGTAACGCAAATGTGATTTTTTTTCCCCCTACAAAGCCTGCAACGTCATCTCTCAGACTCCAAATGGAAAGTTTACCCTTGTAGTTCCGCACCAGCATCGAAACTGTAGCTTCTCCATAATTTATCCTGTGGTGATCAAAATATCTGATCTCACCCTGGGACACTTAAACGGTCTTCAGTGGAAGGTGAGTTGTTGATTTGCTTCCCACCATGCCATAAGGCCATCGCTTTACTGGCGCAGAAGCGGTCATACAGGGTGAACCTGCACATGGGAGTAGCTGGTACCCCGATTGGCTCTTAAATCTCACATGTGCTTGCCCTGGGGCTTCAGGTAAGCCCCCTATTTCAGCTTTGCTGCAAGTCGCACCCTCAGGTGCCCATCCTGACTACTTGAATACTTTCCTTGTGATGTAAGAAGTGTTTTCAACTGGTACGGTTGTGGTATATAATTACAATTGAACTCTCTTGTACTTGCCTCTTTTACAAAAATTCTCTCCTAGCAGAACCTAGTGTGAGTCATCTGTGCAGCTGTTTTTCTGATTATTGGAATTTTCTTTTGACATGAAGGAAGTATCTCATTGACAGAACTATGTAATGAAGGAATGCTAACTATAGCATAAAATACGAAATTGGGTTTTTATATTGCAAAATACAGTAAAGTTTTGAAGAGTATTTTGTATGACATTTAACTCTGTACATTTTGCCTCAGAAATATTGACTGAGAATCCCCATCGATGTATTTTCAAATGAACTTCTCCACGGACCTTATGATTAATGCTGAGCTGACCACATTTGCAGGCACTGGTAGCCTCTTCCCTCTGAGTCACCCTCCCTTCCTTGACTTTCTCACATGCTGGTTTAAGATAACTCATGCGTTTCCTGCTGTCAAAGGCAGTCCACAGTTCCTAATCCGACAGATTTTGTGAAGACCAAATAAATAGAACCAGAACAGAGAAGGGAGTATATCCAATTTCCTCTAAGCCCTAAATTCATGGACCGGTGCCTTTTTTTTTTTTTAAGTTGTACCTTAGTGAAAAAAATAACCCTTTGATAAAGATGTCTTTGGATCTTTGGGTATTGGCTTGATATTGTCATTCTTGATATAAAATCTAGAAGATGGGGATGTGAGTGAAACTGGGAAAGATGCACTTTAGTTATTAAGGCTATAAGGAGTAATCTTGGTGTCCCTGCTTAACAATGTATAGCTTATAGTGTTCTAGGCATATATTCCTTTACAAAAGATTTTTTGAGCACTTACCATGTGCAAGGCACTATCCTCGATGCTGGAAGTTAGCAATGAACAAGACAGGCCCTGCTCACAGGGTTGCTGAAGGCTAGCCAGATGAGGCAGTCAAAACTGTCATGTACTTCAAATAATGGTAAGTGTTCCACAGAGATGCTCCGGAGGTAGACAGTAATGGGACTGGGGCCGGGGCTGGGGGGGGGGGGGCGGGGAGTAGAGCAGGGAGAGAAAGGGAGGCTACTTT